CAGGGGTGGGCGGGGGTGGCGGGGGGGGTCTTGACCATTTGCTGAGCTTCCAGGCCTGGTGGTGAATGGGAACCCCAATAGAAATCACGTTGTGTCCCGGGTAAGACTCATCCAGGAGCAATCACAACACTAAAATGCAGGCTTAAGGAACTCTGAACAGCAGCTCTGCCAAGCTACGGAAGTCGTGATGCTTGTGGCCATTGCAGATCAGCTCTGGGAACGGTGTCCTGGGCTGCGCGTGCGGACAGGGCCAGGCCAGGGAGCTGCTCCCCAGCTCCTGAACACTGTCTGCTGCAGCAAGGTTCAAATTCTTCTCCGGCCGGAGCTGAAACTGCTCCTTCCCTCCCTCCACGCACAAGCTGAGTTTCTTTCCGAGCGATTTCTGTTGTGAATAAAAGCTCCCTTGCGTGCGCTGTGCCGCAGTGCTGAGCCCAGCAAGTGCCAGGCAGCGGGGGCTGATCGTGCCCTGAGGTTGGACCGCTCAAGTCTTAAATGCCCTGTTTAAATTTCCGCTCCGGGAGTCTCGGAGCTGATCCCGCTTACAGACGCCTGCTCGCTCTCTGCGGCCGTCCGCGACGCCGGCACTCCTGCTCGCAGCGGGTGCCAATGCAGCGTTCTTCCTGGCAGAAGGGTGCATCCCAGGGGATGGCGGTGCCGGCAGCCCGGGGAGCTGCATGTTCCCTACCCAGCTAGAGCAGCACCGCTTTGCTCGCTGGAGGGCCTGCTCCCGGAGCTCTGTGCTGCATCGAACTGCCTATGCGAGCAAAGGATGACGGTCTCCTTGGGAATAACAGGATGCCTGGCGGTCTCCCCGGTTTCTCCAGCGTGCCTGCTGTGTCCGATAACCGCCGCAGCTTCTTCGCGCTGCAGTCGAGTCCTCCTGCCTCGCCGCGGAACAGCTGCTCCCTCCTGCTGGGAGCTCACGTTGCAGGGCAGAGCATTTTCCCCTCCAGCCAGTACACTCAGGCGAAGGTTCACTTGCTTTGGGGCTGCACGGCCACTAATTCTGCCAGTTCCCGAATAACGGAAGGTGGGGGAAGTAAAAAGCAGCTCCTCACTCCTGCCTCCTTGCAGCTGTGAGGGGACGCAGCCCAGGGCTTGCGTCCCCTGCAAGGCTTCTGCACAGCCGGGGCGGTGAAGATACGCTCGTGTTTGGGGGAAGGAGTGGCGTGGGGTGCCGCCGGCTGGTTTAATGCACGTCCAGATCCCCCGAGGTCCCCGTGGGTGCCGCGGGGGCTGGTCGCCAGCAGGGGGAAGGCGTGCTGCAATGACTTTGTCGTCCTACAGGCCCTGAACGAATCTCTGAAGCTCTTCAAGACTTACTCGCCCCAGACTGCCGCCATGCTCTTCGCTGTAGATAACGAAGCTGGCAGAATCACCTGCCTGTGTCAAGTACCCCAGGTAACGCCGAGGCTCCGCGTCTGCCTTTCCCTGGGCCTCGGCGGAGGGTCTGCAGCCTCCAGGCAGTAACTATCTAACGCTACAGGGCCAAAACTCGTTTGGGTTGGGCGAGAGCCGTGACCCTTCTGCTTTGGGTTATCATCAGGCTGCAGAGGGGTGGAAGAGGCACTGTGCTCTGCAAAGGGGGAAGGGGGAAGAGCCGGGACTTAAATGCGGTTGCAGGCACGGGGGCAGGTAGGCTGCCTCTGGACTGCTGGCCTAGCTCTCCTCCGGGAAATGCACCTGGAAGAGCTTTGTCCTGTTGTACGATGCTCGTGGAGCCTTCTCCCTCGCTGCCGGCTGGGTTGAGGTCGAGCTGCCTCTCTTTTTGTTTCTTTTCCCATCCAGGAGACCGCAAATAAGGGCCTGAAGGCCAGCCAGTGGGTGCAGGAGGTGTCTGGCTTGATGGACGGCAAAGGCGGGGGGAAGGACGTCTCCGCGCAGGCGACGGGCAAGAACGTGGGCTGCCTGCAGGAGGCCCTGAAACTGGCCACGGACTTTGCCAGGCTCCGGCTGGGGGAGCTGAAGAACTGACGGGGGGGTGGGGGGGGGGGGGTGACCGGCACCCCTCTCCCCT